GACGGCCTCCCTGCAGGGCGGACGCTGCTTTGCACCATAGAAGCTGCCTGGAGGTTTCAGGCTCTCAGCCCTAAGGGAGGAGAGGCCCTGGGGGCACAGCGCTGTGCAGCTCCTGGCAGCTGGGCAGGGACAGGAGAGGCCAGTGCAGAGCCCCTGGCTGCTCACCCGCTATCCAGTAACCTCCAGCATCTTGTGTCTCTTTGTCCTTTTATAGGGGTTTCTCCCAGAAAACAAGTTCAATCACAGCCTACCCGAGCCCGTTCTTCGAGATGCGGGCCCCCGCCGCAGGGGCAGGAGGCCCCGGAGCGAGCTCCTGAAGGCTCCCACCCTCGTGGCGGACTCCCACTCCGGGATGGGGCCTCTGTTCATGAATGGACTGATCGCCGGGATGGACCTGGTTGGGCTTCAGAACATGAGAAACGTGCCAGGCATCCCCCTCACGGGGCTGGTGGGGTTCCCGGCCGGCTTTGCTGCGATGCCCACAGGCGAAGAGGTCAAGAGCACGTTGAGCATGCTGCCCATGGTGCTGCCGGGCATGGCCGCCGTGCCCCAGATGTTTGGGGTCGGGGGGCTCCTCAATGCCCCCATGGCCGCCAGCTGCACTTCTGCACCAGCGTCGCTGTCAGGCACAACGAAGAGCGGCACGTCAGTGGCCGAAAAGACTGCAGAAGATAAGCCCGGCGGCCATGATGTGAAAACGGACAGCTTAGCCGAAGACAAGCCTGGCCCGAGTCCGTTTTCCGATCAGTCTGAACCTGCAATAACTACGAGTAGTCCTGTGGCTTTTAACCCATTTCTCATCCCAGGAATGTCCCCCGGACTCATTTACCCATCCATGTTTCTCTCCCCTGGCATGGGCATGACCCTGCCAGCCATGCAGCAGGCCAGACACTCTGAAATAGTAGGTCTGGAGAGCCAGAAGAGGAAGAGGAAGAAAGCAAAAGGGGACAACCCGAACCCCAACCCAGAGTCTGCACCCGGGCCGGAGAGGGAGCCGGGCGGTGACCAGAACTGCCCCGAATCCAGGGCCCCCGTGCCCCTAGATAGAGAACACGCGGCACAGGCCAGGGAAGGGGGCACCCAAGACTCTCACGGTGACACCAATTAGAACTGTTTCGTTGGAGAAATTATTGTGACTTGTAAGTTTCTTATCCCATAAAGGTTTGTTACTTCCCTCACTTCACCGTCATAAGAACCTGTGTTTCCATGAGTAATATTACCTACCTGATTTCCTGTCTGAGAACTATGGTACCAGATGTTAATAGTCGCAGGGTCTTGCCACGTCATCAGCTAAGTGTCGTTGACCTAGTCTAGGAGGCCAGAGTCCTCACTCTGTTCTCCAGCCGTTCATTCCAGCCGTCGTAGTTAGTACAGACGTGGGGACACGCCCACCCCTTCTCTTCCAAGTTTCCCACTTATTTGAGGAGGAAAAATGGCAAAAGAAAGCCATCTAGGGATTTACCAGGAAAGGGCCGAAGCAGACACGGAGCAGCTCTTTTTTTCCGTGAACAGTGTTAATGGGAAGACTGTATCGGGGGAACCAAAAAGCACAGGAAAAGGAAGTGCTGGTGCATACTTTTTAGTTAAAACTACTTCCCTGTTTTATCATGATTACTAAATGAGTAGGATAGGCAGACGTATATAACTAATGGTTGAAACTGCGTATATTCATTTCTTTCTAAAGCAGAAACCTTACTGGTAGTAACACGACTTCCCCCTTTGTGGGTTTTCAGACACCTGCAGCAAGAAGAAATACCGACCAGGCGTTATTTCATACGCACGCCTCCTCCCTCTCCCAGGTTGAAAGGGGATTCTCAGTCTGGGAAAGCTGTACACACCTTGAGTTGCTGCTGCGCCGGGGCTGGGCGAGGGGCTCGCCCTCCAAGGAGCTGCACACGGCGTACAAGCACACGACTAGCACTCTGCCCCCACCGCGTTCTCTTAAGAACTGCTCTAGCCACTACCCGGGCCCGGTGGGTTTTTACTCTGCGTTTTCCTTCACCAGGAATCAGGCTCTTTCTGGAGCCTGTGAGAAAATAGCCACTCAACACTCTTAGACGCTCGCCAGGGGCCTTTTGTCCAAGTTGAGGTTGTCAAACCATGTGTGTACCACCTTTTAGAATGCGACTGTGAAGAGTTTTTTTCCTTGTCTCCAGATTTTTTTCTGTCCTCAGTTTATATTTTACAGTTGGACCCAGATTCCAAATCATCAAGCTAGTGGAGACTATGTTGCAAATTAACATTGTCTGTCCTCCTTTCCCAGCTGCCCAGGCTGGGAGGAACCCGCCCACTCACCCCGCTTTCCTCCGCCTTCCCACTCGGGTTCCACCCCTGCTGATGGCCCTACCCTCCGTCGGCAGTTCCCACGCTGAGACTTGAACTAAGCTCGCGGTTCAGTGCTCCGGGGGCACAGGGCTGTGCAGGACCGTCGGGAATGTTGCAAGTGTTACTAGCACCAGTTCCACGTTTTGTTGTCACAATTTACTGTATTTTTTACTTTTTCTGTTACAGTTTTGCTATAATTTATCAGAAGGTCCAAAAGTTTGACATAACTATTTCAGTTTGCATTATTTATTTATGATGCTTTTGTCATTGTCTTTTATACATTTGGGATTATAAATTATGTAAATGTTAAAATGAGCATCTCAAAGAAGTCTGTTAAATCATGGCCAGAAAAAAAATCAATCAGCTGTATTTTCAAAAAGTGGAGTCCCAGTTTTATGAATCAGAGATATAAATCAGAAATTCTATAAACAGATCATAGAAGAAAGAACCCAGTAATTGAATCAGTCCTATTTAATGACATCTCTGTAGCATAGGTGGTCTCTAATGCTGACAACAGATTTCTTAGAAATGCTGCTCTCTATTTAACTAACATTTTGTTCAGTTTTGCCTCCAGTGGAAGCAGAAAGGGTTTTTTCAGCTGTTAAATCCTAAAAATCAATATAATTTATTTATGTAAAAAAAATCACTCAATTGATATATTTTTGAACCTTTTAAGTACTAATTTTCTTTTTATCTAGTAGAAGAAAAAAATGTATTTGCCCTAAATCCTTAAAATACAAATGCTATAAAAATTGATGTATCTTGAAAGCCTTACTGCAAATGAGTATTATAGACATCCAGCAGAGCCCGGGTCTTCTTTGTGGTCGTCGTTTTGTATAGAAAAGCTGCTTTCCCCAGGTTCCACTTAGAACCTCCAGTAGGTCACAGGGTTCAATATGGCTTTGATTTAAAAACCCACCAGCATGCTAAATCCCTTGTTATATCTTACCGAACCTGTATGTTAACTCTCTGGGTGTTTAGGCTTCTATTTGACTGCTGTTGTGTCCCTGTTTGCAAAATGAAAATGACACTCTGTGGATTATTTGCTCTGTAAGGCATAAGTGCTTCTTCTTATTTTGACGTTTCCAAGAGCAAAAGCCAAATTTAAACTCTCTTCAGCAAACTTGAGCCTTTCCATCTAATTCCATGTCACTCACAGCCATAACTTTCCTTGATCATTCTTCACCCCATGTCTTACATAATAAATTGTCTGTGGTCTTGATCCTGGATTTAAAAAAAAAAAAAAACAGTTTAAAAGTCAAATTTGTATTTGAGGAATTCAGTGCCACTCGGATGTCTCTTGCTGCCTGGGCAGTTTATGAATACATTGTATGCACACAGGAATCCACTGTCTTTCCCAGGTACCCAGCTTATGCTAGGCACCCTATTAGGGGCTTGCTAAATGTTTGTTCATGACGTATCTCCTGATCTACCAGAACACTTGGTTAAAACAGATGCTGTAGAAAGGGGCGCAGCAAGTACCTGCTTCGCAGACTTGGGGCCTGAATGCTCACAGCTGGCGCTTCAGCTTTCTTGAGCCCCATTTCAGAAGTCCCACCTCAGATCACACACCTGGGACTTCAGGGGGAAACTCTGCAGGTTGAAACAGCCCCAAAACACAGGAATGCCTCAGTAGCTGACGTTCTTAAGGCTTGTTGAGAACTCTGTGGTCCTTAGCTTTGGGAGGCATCACTTCTAAGGCCCCAAAAGGGCTATGTCAGAAGTTACCAATGAGGCTGGCAGGGAAGTGCTGAAATATCCTTGCGACTGAGAGCAGGAGACCCACCAGCCTCACCCTTCCTGGATCCCTGCTGGGTACCAATAGATGGTGCAGGAACAGCCTGGAGGAGGGTTGGGGCATGGTGCTATGAGGCCTTAAAACCTCTGCTACAACTTTTCAAGTCAGGATGGATTACCGGCCTTGTAGATCTCTAGTCTCGGGGAGCCCTCTGGGAAGAATAATTTATGCAGAATAAGTAATAAACATCCTTGGTCTCACGCTTGACCTCAAAGTCTCTCCCAGTAGATTCTACCTCCTCGTATGAGGGCGGGAGAGTACAGTTAGTCACATACATTGGGCTAGTGTTTTAGTGTTTTGTGTGTGTTTGCCATAAGTGACCTCACTTGTCCTCAGAGCATCTTGGTTGCTGGTAGAGGGATGCTGGCGTCCAGTCTGCCTAATGAAAGCCAACAGAGAGGCTGCAAAGCTCTCATCAGTCAAAGAGAACAGAGCTGGGACAGAACTCCCCTCCCCACCTCCGGCCCACCCGCCTGAGGTCAGGACACTCCAGCCTTAGTGATGCTAGTTTTGGACCCCTCAACCTCAGAAACCAGATCTAACCAAATAACACTTAGAAAAATTGGCAGTGGGGAAAAACAGAACAGCTGTGTCACACGCTCTGGAAAATTTTATGCTCGATTCATTTATACCTTAAAATGGTTTCTTGCAAGAATTACTGTTCACTTGCCTGGTCTGGAAACCACAGAAGGATCTCTTAGGTTAGCAATGGGGTTCACCCAGCCCAGTGAGTAGCACCTTGGTTCTAGACTCTGGCTTCTCAAAACCCAGTCCCTGAGGGACAGGAGCAGGAGGGCAGGTCTTCAGGACACATGGCTTTGCTGCTGAGTGGCTGGCATTGTGACCACCCTTGTAATCCACACTCAGCTGGGGCGTCTGTGGGGTAAGGTAAGAAGTAAGGGAAAGGGGTGAGTTAAGTCCTGGCTCCTGCAGGGAAGGTGGTCCATGAGATGGGTTTGAAAATGCCTGAAGTTGGTGCTGTGGGGCCCATTCTGCTGTCTGAGCTGTGGCTCAGCCGTCACCCAAGGCCAAGAGGACAAAGTGAGGAACTCAAATGAGGGGCAGGAAGGAGAGTGGAGGCCCTGGAAGAACTTTGGCTTCCCTAGGGGCAGGGGAGGCAGGAGGAGCAGCCCCACCTTCTCTCAGCCTCAGTTGCCTCATCTGTAGAATGGGGGTAATTATAACTTGAACCTGTAGGGTTGTTGACGGAGTTGATTGAAATGATCAGTGTCAGGTGCTTAAAACTGCTTGTTATATTTGAGTCGTGTATCTTTTTTATTTCTTTTAAATAGCTGGTGAGGTGAGGATGGCCAGTGCTGGAAAGATATGGTAATCAAATCAGGGATGAAGCAAGGAAATCAAGGGTGAGGAAGAGCTTGCTCCAACCCCCAAGGCAAGTCCAGAGTGGATCTGGGATTGGACTCATACCATTGCAGGAAACAGGTTATCTGGCTTATTCCGTCCCCATGACCCTGCAAGCAGAAAATACCTTCCCACGTGAGCCCTGTGGTCAGAATGAACTAAAGGGATGAAAGCTATTGTGGGGCTGGGGGACAGGGCAGCTCCCAGATCTGTGAAGCCTCCCTCAGGGCAAGGTTACCAGATTTAGGGGAAAAAAGACACCCAGTTAAGTGTTAATTTCAGATAAACTAATATTCTTGTGTAAGTTTATACTTGGTACATAATTATACTAAAAATTTTTTGGTTTATCTAGATTTCAAATTTAGGCATCCTGTTTTCTCTGGTTCCTTAATGTAATAATGTACATTTACTAGGAAATTCCTTGAGTGGGACTTGTTCTAAGTGCTTTATGGCCATATTCCCAATCCCTACAGTAACTCTGAGGTTATCCCCATTTTACAGATGAGAAAACTGAGGCCCAGGGAGGCTAAATAACACCCAATCACCCAGCTGATAAATGGCAGAGATGGGATTTGGGGACCCAGAAAGACTGATCCCAGAGCCATAAACTGGCCCATAGTGGAGTCAGGGTTGGCATCTGGTCTGAGGCCTGGACAGGCCACCCCTCTCAGGCGCAGCTTCATAAAATAGCAGTAAACGGGTGATGAGCCAGGGGAAGGGGCTCTTCTGGCCAGTGCTGTCCGTGGGCTAAGCGACCAGCTCTGAGGCCAGAGGAGCCAGGTAACCCAAGGAAGAAGGTATTTCCTTCCCATCCTGCTGTGAGCCCAACGGCGGTCTTGGCATCTGAGTGCTCTGGCTCCCCAGCCTGGGTCCCAGGGGAAGCATCCAGTCTTAGAAGATGGAAAACAAGGACAACAGGGGCTTGTGTAATAGCTCAGCTGGAAGGCCTGGAAGTGGGGTGTCCTCCAAGGCTGATGGGAGGGAGACAACTTGCAACCAGCGATCAACTCCAAACGCCAGAGCTTAATTTCAACCCCAGGTACTGCATAGGGACCTGGAAGCAGGACAGAAACCCAAATGTGAAAGCTTTGGTCCAGCTTTGTAGTGTGAACACTGCTCACCTCTCGCCCTAGGGTGTCCGTGGATTGCCCACCACTGCCGTGCTGGGTGATGCAGCAGCTGCCAGGAAGGGGAGGCGACCCATCTCACCCACCGGGCCCTGGTGACCTTCCTCCACCAGCGCGGCCCAGCCCTGTGTTCACTAACGGTCCCCATCAGTGCCTCCTGGTGCCTGCTCTGCAGCCGGGCCTCAACACCAGTGATCTCACCCCAAATGTGTTCTCCAGACGAGGACAAGGCTCAGGTGGTTGTCACCTCCTTCAGTGGCACTGTGAGTGAGTGGAAGGACAGGAATTTAGGGGGGGGGTGTTTGATTCCAAAACCACAGACCCCACACACTGTCTTCCATCGCCTGGTTTTGTACAGCCCACAAGCTAGGAATGGGCTGTTACGTTTTTTAATAATGGAAAAGTCAAAAGAATAATATTTCACAACCCATGAAAATCATACCAAATTCAAATTTCAGGGACCATGAACAAAGTTTTATTAGAGCACAGCCACGTTCTTTACATATCGTCTGGGGCTGCCTCCCCACAACAGCAGGGCTGAATGGTTGTTCCAGAACCACATGGCCAGCAACGCTGAAAATATTTGCTATCTGGTCCTTTACTGAAAAAGTTTGCAGACCCCTGTCCTAGAGTATCCATTGTATTCACAGATTCAGGCAAACCTAAGTCATTGAAAATATTTTTTATTAATTCAAACTTAGTTTTGTATAAACATGAACGATACACTAGCATAAAGACTGACATCTACTTTTAAGATAAAACAGATTTCAAAGAAGCACTTTGGGCATCTGGAGTTTCCGCCTCCAAACCCCCAGGGCATCCCTTCACTTCAGAGGAAAAGTTGGAGCCACTCTGTCCCACCCCCTCCTCTTCACCCACGTCCTATTTGGGACAAAGAGGGGGAGGGTCAGAGGACGGATTTGAAGCTGCCAGCGATTGAGAAGAGGTAATTTTTAGGAAAAGGACCCTCAAGAGGGCAGGAAAAGGAGAGTCAGGAGGACACAGGCAGAGGGAAACACACAGCGTGGGTTTAAGGACCACCCGTGCCTTGGGTGGGGGCCCATGAGACAGCCCTCATCTGGGGCCGTGGGCTGGCTACATGCAAGGTGGGCGGGGCAGGCCTGGTGTATGAGCCGGCATGGGTCTCGGTCCCACCTGGAGCTCAGGAACAGAAAGGCCAGATGTGGGGAGCTGAGTACAAGGGAGCAGTGGCTGGGAGCCCCCAGCGGGCGCCTGCGCCAAGGCTGACTGGCAGCCACATCCTGGAAGCAGAGTTCAGAGGAAACAGGAAAGAGCAGCTGGGACCAGTGAATGCAGGGACGAGTGAATTCCCACCACAGGCCCTCCCACACCGTGACCAAGGGCAGCGGTCACACCTCATCAGGCCCCCACCCCTGGCCAACTTGACCTGCTGTGCCCCAGACTGGGCTGGGCTTCTGCACACAGGTCGGATCAGACACCATCCTGCTGTTGGGGGACAGAAGGGCCCACAGACCTACTGAATCTGCCGGACGCTGCCCTCTCCTGACGCAGCAGCAGGCAGAGGAACGGGAGACACTGAATGGAGCATTCTTGCACGTTCAGGTCTCCGGCCGGCGTGGATTGTGCACGGGGAGCCGGGAGCAGCTGCGGTGAAGCTGCCGATGGTCTCCGAGCAGCCATGGGTGACGGCAAGGGTGTAGGACCCGAGAGAGAGGAAGTTCCGCTGTTTTCAGAGAAGAAAGATGGGCGATTCGGCCGACAGCCTAGTAAGTTTGACTTCAACCCTAGTGGGCATACTTGTAGAAAAGCTGTGCCAAGAGTTTACCAAGAGCAAGTCAGGTCGCTCTCTCTCTCGCCTTCTGAGATGGCCCGCACTCTGTCCACGGAGTGTACACCTCTCTGAGTAAATCTACTTTTACTGGGGAAAAAAAAGGGAAAAATAGAACACAAGCCACACTCACTTCCATCCTCTTTTGGGGTGACTGTTGGGTGAAGAGAGCAACTCTGGGTATTTTTCACAGCGAGGGGCAAAACAGAGAGCAGTGGGCATTTGTCCCGACCTGAATGGTCATAACCAAAGGGGAACTGAGGAACAGGTATGCGTCCCTCTGGGGAGACCTCAGTGGCTCATGGGCCCTTTATTCAATATGTAGCAGTGTTTTTAAACTCCCATATCTACCGGCTGGGACAGGTGACATACATGTGTGAGAAGGGCCAGATTTAAGGCAATAAATTTAAGATTAAAGACTTAAGACAGATGGCAAGACGAGACCTCTTGCCCAGACTAAAAGGGACAGCTGCTCCCAGCCACAGCCAGGGGATGCCATGGAGGGATGTGGGCTCCGTGTTGCTCAACACCCTGATTTTTTTCCCAACAGAGGATGAGAATTCAGAGTGTTATGTAAAATCTCCTGATTTTTAAATGTATGCAACAAATTCAAGCTTTAGAAAACTCCAGGGGGAGGACAAATACCTGTCTGCAGGCTAGATCCAGTGCACAGGGAGCAAGCCGGCTACTTGAGTGATGGCAGAGCCATGGACATTGGCACATTTCCAATACAACCAGCAGGTGACATGCGAGAAAACAGAATCAGGATGCATTTTAAGGGGGTAACTATCCTGTCCCCCACGGGGGTGTTCAGCTGGCTCTCAGAACCAGGACATCGGGAAAAGCTTGGCAGTGGAGGTCGGTACAATGCTGGTTGGGGGCAGCTCCTAGAGGGTTGAGCTCTCCCCCTGGGATGTCCCAGAAGGTGCTGCAGTCCCACATGGGGGCGACGCTGGGCACTTGCCAGTATCAGGTGGGGGAGTCCTGGTAGCTTTGCAAAATCTGTCTAATCCCTAGGCCCCTTGAGCGAAGGTCCTGGCTGGGGTGTGTGCCTGCTGTGTTGATACTTGGCCCTCACCCTCCTCTGTCCCTGGCACAGGTGGGTTCCCTGGGAATCCTCGGGGACTTAGAGAGTGAGTGATCTCACCTATGACCACCCTGCAGGTGTGAGTCGGGGAGGAGAGCAGGATGGGGGAGGGGTCCAGGCGGCGGAGGCGGCAGTGACTCGAAACTGCGAGGTGTTAAGCCTCTTTCCTGGCTCTGACCAAGAGGAGGCCGGACCAGGAGAGCTAGACACCGCTCCCACCCAGCCCCTCACCCCCATCCCCACTCCAGCTCTGATCCAGGCTTTTCCATTCACAGATCCCAAACATTCCAGGCTGGCAAAGAGCCAGAGAGGCTGCCAAAGCCCCAGTGAATGCCTGGGGGTGGGGGTAGGGGGATGTGCAGGCCTGTCAGGTGGATTATAGGGGCCTGAGGAAGGCTCCCAACCCCAGCCCCTGGGGCCCACAGTTGGAAGACCCTCCTGCTCTTACCACAGTCCCTTGTCAAATCTCCCCACCAGGAAGCAAGATGTGTGTACATAAGGCAGGAGCCCTGAACTCCTCAGCTTGGCGTGCATCTGAGAGGGAGGCAGAGAGAGTTGGAGGATGGAGCAGGGGCTTGGAGGAGCAGGTACCCTTGCTGGCTAAGCCCCTGGGGCCACTTCCTTCCTTTCCATAGACAAGTTGGAGATAATCAGCATCGCATTCGGGGAGAGGAAGAAGAGGCAGCCCCCTCCCCTGGCCTGGGGGTCTGGGAGGGTTTGGAGCTCCTCCAGCTACTTTCAACGCACAACCCAGCATCCAGAACAGGCCCCAGGAGCAGCGGCCACGTCCCACCACCCGACCCCTCAGCCCAGTCACCCAGCGGGAGCTGAGAGATTAAACATCCATCCCAAGTGGTACTATCTCTGCCGAGTCGACTGTCGGGGCTCAATGTTCTTCATCTCTGACCTTGTGTTTTTGGTTCTCGGTGTCTCCTTGTGCCCTTGGTTCCTCTCTCTTTCATGCTGAGCCAGTCAGCTGGTCTGTGCTCATGTCTCAGGGACCAGACAGGACAACAGGGAAGAGAAAGAAAAGATTCTCTGCCTGGCTTTTCAGTTTCAAAAGCAGCCCCTGGCCTGGACACAATGTGACAGGTAAGAGCAAAGCTTCCGGGTACCGTTCCTGCTCCCCTTTAGAAAAAGATTCCTGAAGGGATGAGGAGGGGATGGCTGGTGGGGACTGGGCTGAAGAAGCTGACCCGGCTGATCCCAGCCCAGGAGCTGCTGGAGCCCAGTCCACCCTCAGACAGACATCTGGACTCCTCCCTGGGTGCCCGTGGGCCTGCCCTTCCCGTGCGGCTGTGGCACGTCCGTGGGCAGGCAGCGAAAGCGGCCACCACATGCGCCCTGAGCTTCACTCAGGGTCAGATCTTCTTGCCCCATTGGACAACCCTCCTTCCGACACCCAGGATGCCCCCAAAATCCCTGTGCCATTATAGGGTGGTGCCCTGATGTCAGTGGAGGGAGAGCAGTGCAGAAAGCCCTCACCCCTATACTCTGGTGGGGATGGGAGAAACTAGCCCAAGGGCCCCACAGCCCCAGTCAGGTGGGTGCTAAGCCCTGCCCTGTGACATCAGTGCTGCTCAAACACCCACTTTCTGACTTGGCAGCCGGCAGCTCTGGGCTCTGTGCAGGCCTGGAGCCAAGGGCACAGGCCTCGGAGCCTCCCTGCAAGGCTGAGAGAAGGAGTAGCACCCACCTCCTGAAGGGGACTTGGGGTTTCCCCAGAAGGGCCCCCAGGGCCGGGGGCAGCAGAGTGTCCAGAAGGCACCCAGTTCCCAAATGGCCTGGGGCACCCCTCTGTGTCTCTCCTTCCCTGTGCTCAGTGTGGTTCAGCTGCCTGGTTCCTGGGGTCCCTGCCAGCCCTGCTGCCCTGGGCACGAGACCCTGCGATGCTGTGTCTCCCTCCCTGGGGGTGGAGGGTCCTCAGACTCAGCCTCACAACTCGGGCACCCCCTCTGGCTGAAACTCAGCTAGAGCATGTTTCCACTCCCTCTTGGAGCTGGGTGCCGGGGTCCTCAGCCCCCTCGGCAGGGTCCCCACCTTCCTGTTAGGCTATTCCCCATGAGCCTTTGTATAAAGAGTCCGGCTGGGATCCAGGGAACTTTGGGAAAGTATGTGTGGACTAAGCCAAGCTGTCCTAACCTGTCTTCCTCCCGGCGCTGAGAGGGGCCAGGTTGTTCCCAGACAAATACAGAAGCAGGGCCAGGAGTGGGGGAGACGCGGGCACGGGGAGGAAGGAGGCTTGCACACCCACAGCAGAGTAGAGGCCAGGGTCGGGTAGGGGTGGGGAGGCACAGCCAGAAGCAGCAGAGGTAGGGGCCTGCTACCAGGTGTCTTGTGTAGACACACACAGGAAACACACACATATACCCTATAGTGCTTGGGTATGGGCTGGGTTACCCAGATATGGATATACGTAAACATGGACGGGTGTGTGCTGTGTATACAGAAATATGCACAGAAACATACACCACGGCTGCAGAGACGTGCTCAAGAGTGTTCACACGTACAGACCCGCAGACACGTATGCACATGCATACACACACAAAGGATGCAGATGGAGAAGTACCAGGCCACACCCAGGAGGCAGGGAGAGGGTCTGAGCCCCCTGACTACCCAGCTCCCTCGCACCCAGTATGTGCACGCGCACACACACACACATCCACCCACCCACACACACACCCTGGGAGGGAACCGCTTCCTTCATAGGGGCTTTCGGATTCAGAGCAACGTGCAATCAAGACCTTGTGCTGGGAAAGAAAGCGCCTTTGTGTGCTGGAATCAGGGCTGTGGGAGCAGCTGCAGCTTCTCTAGGATAAGGGCCAGGCCAGTTCCTTGCCCAGGGGAGGAAGGTCAGGCGGGGCTGGGGGTGAGGGGGCGGAAGTCAGGGCTCCAGCAAGCCCTGCACCAACCCTGGGACGCTGTCTCTGGCTAGCTGCACAGAGCCCAGAAAGCCACTCTGACCCAGCCTCCTGCCCTGGTCTGGCCCCGCCCCCAGGACACCCCGTGGTTCTGCCCCCAGGCTGGGGCTACCCTGACCCAGACAAGCCTGGCTCTGGCCTCGAGCTCCAAGCCTGCCCTGTGCCAGCAGCCTGGCTTTTCTTTAAGCGAAGAGATCAGGCTCTTGAATTAGAAAGATGTGAGGTTGAGTCCTGGCTCTGTCACTCACCTGCAGGGTGATTCTGAGACGCACCTCATTTTTTTGAGCCCTAAATTTGAGCTCTGGTTACAGTACTCAAAGCCCGGGGGCAAATCCTCTCTGCTGATCCCTCAGAGCCCAGCGCCTTCTCTGTGTGTGTGAGAGCTCCAGACTGGATGGGCTGGGCCAGCACCCTGCCGACCCCTGCTACTCTGGCCCAGGGAGGATGGCGGGACCCAGGCCCAGCCCTTGGACCTGCTATCCTGAAGCTCCCTCCTCTCTTTGCCCTCCCACCCTGGTGGTCCTTGCCTGGTGCCCCTCTGAGCCTCCTCATCACACTCTGAAAGTGCCTCTCCCTCCTCCCTGTTCCCCTGCCCTAGGCCCAGCCTGCCCTCTGCTCCCTCCAAGCTGGGTCCTCTGCAGGCTGAGCCTCCAGGGAAAACAGCCCCAGGTTCTGGGAGATGCCCTAGGTTCTGGGAGACCTCCCAGCGGTGGCTTCAGCCTCATCACCAGGCACTGTTCCAGGACTCTCTCTAGTCATCTGGTCAACAGATACTTATTAAAGGTCTCCTATGTGCCAGAGGCTGTTGCAGATGCTGGACCTTCAGGGATGAACAAATGGACAAAAACCTCTGCCCTCATGGGCACACGTGCAGTAGCACTGTTACCGTAGCACTGTTGGGGGCCTAGAGCATCCCACGGTCCCCCATTCTGCCCTGAGAGCAGCAGTCATCCTGAGGCATCAATTCCTTCCTGTGTCACCACAAAGCTTGGGAATGTCACTATCACAGCTCTTTCTCCCTACCTGGAGACCATGGGAGCTCAAGGGCAGGGGCAATAGAGCTGGTATGAGGCCATGATTGACTCAGCAATGGTTTTCAGTAGTTCAGTGCATTCAGCTACCACAGCCCCTTCGTGGGTTTCTTTTTTGCTCTAAATGTAACTTGGCACCTCTTTTTCAATGTATTTTTAGTGTATTATGTAATTATGTACAATTACGTAATAGTCAAAGCACATGTGTCCCGATTGTTAATAAAAGTGTTCTGTTTTAGGAAATAACCCAAATGTCCATCGACAGACGACTGGATAAAGAAGTTGTGGTATATTTACACAATGGAATACTACCCAGCCATAAAAAAGAATAAAATAATGCCATTTGCTGCAACATGGACGGACCTGGAGATAGTCACACTAATTGAAATAAGCCAGAAAAAGAAAGAAAAATACCATATGATCTCACTTATATGTGGAATCTAAAAAAAAAAAGACACAAGTAAATTTATTTACAAAGTAGGAACACACTCACAGACATAGAAAACAAACCTATGGTTACCAGGGGGAGAAGGAGATGGGAAGAGATAAATTGGGAGTTCAAGATTTTCAGATACTAACTACTATATATAAAATAGACAAACAACAGGTTTCTTCTGTGCAGCACAGGGAACTATATTCAATATCTTGTAGTAACCTATAATGAAAAAGAATATGAAAAGGAATATATATATGTATATGACAGACATTATACTGTACACCAGAAATTGATACACCATTATAAACTGACTATATTTCAATTTTTTATTTTTATTTTTTATACTTCAATTTTTTTAATAATAAAAATTTTAAAAGAATTTTTTTTAATGTTCTGTTTTAGGAAATAACTGGACTGACCCTGAAGCTCAACTAGCCTAGTGTGGGACGTGTCCAGTCAAGTTCTCTGCTCTGTACAGTTCATCTGTTCCTGCAACATTAGTTTGAACCCCTGCCCCAGGCAGCCCCAGGGTAGGGGAGCAGAAGCCCATGGAGACCCCTGTCTAGAGAGGCTCGTTGTCCAGAACAGGGACCAGGACAGGTAAGCAGAAAAGTGCAATTCAGTGGATAGAATGATGTGCAGGCACTGCAGGAGCCTGAAGGGAGATCCTTGAGAGGCTGGGGTGGATCAAAGATAATTTTGCAGAGCCAGAGACACTGAGCTGAGCCTTTAAGGAGCAGTTGGATGTTTTTCCGGTACAGATGAGAGAGAGGTGAGCCAGACAGAGGGACCAGTATTTGCAAAAGTCATGGAAACGTGTGTGTGTGTGAAGGAGGGGGGAAATGTTATATGTCCCGGGCAGGGCGGGTGTGTGTCAGCCTGGGCTAGAGAAGAAGCTGGCACCAGATCGGACTGTGGATGCCAGGAGAATGGGGAACCCCTGCCACATGGAGGGCACCCAACCTGGCCCTGGAGCTGCCCCACTGAGCTCTCCCCACTACCACTTGGAACCCTCTGGCTCAGCCTCACTGTCCCCACCTTCAGCCTACGAAACTCGGGTTTCTCTGCGGTCAGATTCCCTCTATTTTTGGTGTAGGTTAAAAAAAAAATGTGGCCAGGAATTTTTGTAAGAGCTCTTTATATATTGAAATTCTTGATTCTTTATTACATAGCTATCTGGTCTTTTTTTGTGTGTAGTTTGACCTTTATTTTATTCTATTTTGATGGAAAGAAACTTTACGTTGTCAAATCCATCAATCGGTTCATTTGCTGTTTTCTTAGAAAATTACTGCCTATCCTAAAATTGTATACAGATTAGGATTGTTTTATGGTTTAACTTCTAACCTTTCCATCTTTAAGCCATTGGAGGTTTATTTCTATGTAAGGTAGGAATCTAACTTGATTTTTTTTTCCAAATTGTTAGCCAGTTGTTTAATCCCACTTAGTGAGTAATCCATCATTTCTGCACTGGTTTGTTTATTTTGTTCAAAATTCATTTCCCCTATTCTGGATTTTTAAAGTCATACTTGCAATCTAGAATTTGTGTTAAATTTTTTTAAGTTAAAAAAAAAGAGGAGGAGGAGGCAGAGTAATCTAAATGTCATGGAGGGCAATGTATGACATAGAAGGTGAGGCCCCAGCGTGGGCTCAACAATTTGTTATATATCATTTTATTGTTAGTTCTGTGTGTGTGTGGCTGTCCTTAATATTTTTTAATTTTAAAAAACTTTGTTCTTTATTAAAGTGTAGTTGATTTACAATGTTAATTTCGGGTGCATAGCAAAGCGATTCAGTTATGCACATATATATAATTAGTTTCATAACATTTATTACATATCTCTTTAATACAGAGATGCACAAACGAGAAAACCCAAAAAGGATCAAAATCTCTACATAACATATATTGACATAATATTACGTTGACATTAAAGAAGACGAGTCATATGTATACAAGGTTGAGAAAGTCAAACAATCCTGAAAGATACAAAATGAAAACTCAACACATCATGCTCATTCATCTCTTCAGTCCATAAGAGCTATTCTGCACTTATTTTCCATGTTAATTTTATATTGTAACCACCCCCCAACTTGATTGAAAATTCATTGGAATGGTATTATTTTTATGGGTTAATTTGGGGCTGGTTATCTTCTTTGCAGTACTGAACGTTCCCGTGTGGGGAAGGGTGTGACCCTCCTGAGACTACACCGGGATTCCCTGATCTTTCTTGTCCAAGATCTAGAACATCCTTCCTCAGGGCACCTTAATCTTAGTCCATGGAGTGTTCTAGCTGCTGCCCCCTGAGAGTAAGAGGACTGGGGGACTTGGTCCCTGTTCTCCCGCACCTGAGGGCCACCAGGTAGAAGAGGGAGTGGACGTGTTCGGCAGAGCCCCAGAGAGCAGACCTCAGACCTCTGGGGGTCACTCAGAGGCCGCCTTTGGCTCCGCACAGAGAAGAATGTTCTGTCTGTTGGGGCAGCGGGGCCACGGAACAAGAAACAAGCTGCCGGGCGTGGTGGGCAGCTCCACCGATGGCGCTTTTCCAGTGTTCCGGGGAAGACATCGCCTGCACTGCCCAAGGGCTTCCCAGCTTGGTGGGGGCAGCAGGGTGCACTGGGTCACCCGAGCCCAGCCCTTCCACTCTGACCAAGCGGAAAAGTCCAAGGCTCCCCAGGACCCCCTCTGTGCCCCTCACCTCACTTCACCCTTCACGGTGACCCTTCGCGATGGGATGGTGCTCACCCATTTCACCTCCAAGGACAGTGAGGCTCAGCAAGGCCGAGAGATCCAACCAAGGTCACCCAGCCGCAATGGTGCAACTTGGATTCCCAAGCACACACCCCTCGGGCTGTCTTTCTGGGACTGCCCCTCCTCCAAGTTAGGGCTGACCAGTAGGAAGTAGGAGCACCCCCCCGCCCCCCAGGTAGGGGACAGCTTCTGGGCAGGTGAGTGGCCCACTGGGCAGCAGGAAGGCATCGCCAGCTCCTCTCCCACTCCTGGTCCCGCACATAAGTCTGCCTCTCTCCCCCAGGCAGCTCTCGGCTTGGCTCACACTGTCCTCAGGAGGCCAGTGGGCTTCTTGATTCCAGGCTGCACATCTGGAAGTTGATGCTATTAAAACAAACCCCATTATATAACAAACGGACATCTGGAACCCGTTAGCGCTAAGTTTTTAGAAAAAAAAGAAATTGTTTTGGATGTGCTCTCTCCTAAGAATGTGGCAAGGAGCCCTCACCCTGGCTGTCCAGGAACCTAGAGACCAGGCAGCCTCCCCTGGGCCTGTTTCTCAAGGTATCTTAGGCCAGGCCAGAGGTGGGCTTGGGCAAACGCGGGGACAGACCCCCTCCACCGGACAGGCAACTTCACCATCTCCAGAAGCCTCAGCCATGGGTGGCCCCTTTCCAATTTCATTCTAGTATTTTTTCAGCACTTGTGTGCCTACTATGTACTGCTGACTCCATACCATTCACATGCCCCCCGCCAACACCCCTACTGGGCCTAATTACTCCGTCGTAACTCAAGAAAACAGATCACAGACTGCCCTGGGTTCTAAACAGCCATGCTTAAATCACTCTGCACCTCCGTTTCCTAGAACCCTCAGGCTCTCCCTGGATGGTCCTTCTCCCTGGACACGAGCAGACCGGGGCTGGAACACTGAGGGGCACTGACCCACAACTGATGGGCATGGGGTCGTGGGGTTCCCTCTATGAGCGGACCTTGATCTGGCAACGAGGAAGCTTTATAAGAAACGTCTGGCTAACATTTTCAAGTGGAAATTTTTCTTTTTAAATCTTTTTTCCCCCAACATTTTGTGATGAAAAGTGTCGAACAGACAGAAAAGTTGAGAGAATGGTACAACGAACACCCACGTAAACCCACCACCTAGATTATGCAGTTGTTCACATGCTGGCCATCTATTCACTCATCAGTCAGTTCAAAAGCAGTCTGCAGACAACACCACTTTTCCCCCAAGCACTTTGCTTGCATGTCATGAACAAGAGGGCAGTATTTGTTTCTGGTTTTTTTTGAGGTGTAACTGAGATACAATGAAATGAGTTAAGTCTTAAGTGTAAGATTTTAGTAAGTTTGACAAATGCCAAATACCTGTATAACTCAAACCCCTGTTACCAGATACAATTCACCATCAGCCCCAGAGCATTCACCATGGCCCTTCCTATTTAGCCTGCACCCACCACTCCTCCCAGAGACAACCACTATTCAGGTTATTTTCACCATAGATTAGGTGTTAGGGGCTGAACTGTGCTCTCCCAAAATTCATATGTTGAAGTCCTAACCCCAGAACCTCAGAATGGGACTGTATTTGGAGAAAGGAACTTTAAAGGGGTGATGAAGGTAAAGTGAGCCCATATGCGTGGGCCCTAATCCAGTATAACTGGTGTCCTTTCAGGAAGAGATCAGGACACAGGTGTGCACAGGCATGGGGGCCAGACTCGTGAGGACACAGAGAGAAGACGGCCATCTCCAAACCATGGAGAGAGGCCTCAGCAGAAACCAACCCTGCCTCCACCTTGAGCTCGGACTTCCAGCCTCCAGAACCGTGAGAAAATAAATTTCTGTTGTTTAAGCCCCCAGCCCATGGCAGCCCTAGCAAACTAATATACCAAGTTCGCCTTTTCTAGAATCTCATACACGTTGTATTCTTTTGTGTCTGCCTTATTTTACCCAGCGTAAGGCTTTTGGGCTTCACCTGTGTTGCTGCATGAGTCAGTACTGTTTTCCTTTTCGTTGCTGAGTAGCGTTCCGTTGTATACACATTCCACAGTTTGTTCGGCCAGGGTAATTTATTTCTTAATGACAGAGGGTTTTTTTTTTTACAGCATTTCACTCTGATGTATGCTCTTTATGTCATCCCAGCAACAGAGAAGATGTCCCGCACAGCTAGCCCTACTCAGCTGGGAGCTTTAGAACTATGTGCAAGTGTTGAATCCTCCTGAAGTATCCATAAAACACATTACAGTTCCTGAAATGAAAGGTTCGTAGGGATGAGATTAAAGAAGTAGCACATCATTTTTATCTCAGTGAATGCAGACGAATCCACTCAGAATGCAGTTCACCACTTTGGTTAATGACACTGAGTTTGGTGTTGAGGGCTCTGGGTTTGGGTCTTACTTGCTGTGTGACCTTAGGCAAATCACTGAACCTCTCTGAGCCTCACTTTACTCACCCAAGAAATGAGGCTAATGATCCCATCCCTAACAGTTGCTTGAAGACTGCATGAACTAGTGAGTTCAGGATGTTCCCAGTGGCTGGAAAGAGTAAGGATTCAGGAAGTGACTCGTCCCAATCAGCAACCCATCAGAGCCAGAACCCCTCTCATGATAGGGCAGCAAAAGTAGATTTCTAGGCGACAAAGAGTGGGAAATGAGCTTCCTGCATTGCCGTATATAATAGCTGAGACCAAGGAGTGGGGTGGTGAAGACCATGTCAAATTAACAAGCCACTGAAATCGATTAGGCTGATGCAATCCCCGCAGAAATGGTGCTTTTGAAATTTCATAAAACACGCCCTGAATTAGGAGATCCAGAGCGCTTCCGGTCTGCACAAGCTTTACACATGTTTGGCCATTTGTATTTCTTATTTTGTTCTATCTGAATGGGGCAGTTCAGAAATTTATTTCACTTGGTCATGATTCTTTCTAGGAAAATGTGAGTTTAAATCTGATAATCTAGAAACCCATCCTGTATAACAGATTTTTGTTGAATATTTTTCTTCTGACACAGCAGGAGAAGTGCATAATCCAAATCGATATCACTTTATTTTATTTCAGAAGGTTTTTTTCCTCCTGAAAAAAGTATTTTTCAACTTTAAAGTCCTTAGGAGTTGTTTTTTTTGGGCATAATTTTATCTGCTCTGTCCCCAGTGGCTTTGAGATGTTCATAATTCCTCTCAGATGATGATCTTTTTTGGCTTTTAAAGATAACGAAAACATCTATAGTTTCACTTTGAAGCTCTTGAGAAAAAATTCCTGGGACCCTTATCATGTGGTAAATAAATTGAAAACAAAAAAGATAAATTCAGATTTGGATACAGGCTATCCATTAGACCCACTGATCATTTACTGCAGGATAAGGATCATTTACTGCAACTTCTGGTGGCCTAAACTCCGTCCATCACTGCTGCTGGTGTTTTAAAGAGACCCCTCTCCTCCTATGTGTTTCATCTGCACCCTGCTAATAGGTACATCGTATTGTGCCAGATGTGAGAGCATCTGAGATCCTTTACTTCCCTCACAAAACTTCATTCTTAGCAGACTCCAAAGATGTACAGACCTCCTTCCATACCACTGAGGGCTCTATACATTTTAGAAGCGCTGTTATAGACCGAGTAGTGTATTTCATTCAAGTCAGTTCCACTTGGGGTTGCTTTTTTTTTTTTCTGATTTATTTTTTTAACCTTGTACAAGATGATTGAGCCCGGTCATCTCTTCCACATCCATGAAACCTGAGAACCTCTCTTTAATTAAACCTCCTGAATGAGGACCACCCTCCTTCTCAACTCCAAATGTGCTACCACAGCAGATCTCCAAGGTCAGCCAGCAGCCAGGCCTGATTGGTTGGGCAGGGCTTCTGCACAGAGAGGACTGTCCTTCCAGGCTGGACAGTAAGGACCTGCGGCAGAGAGAGCCTTGGGTGAGAATCAGGTGTGCTGGGTTCCAGGAGAGGGCTTGGTGCAGGGATCCACCAGAAAGCGGGGCCAGCAGCCTTGGGTGGTCCTGGGAGGACCTGTAAAATCCCTCCCTGTCACTGGGAGATGGAGACACAGAGCACTCCTTCCAAGGGCACCACAAGGCACGGCCACCCTGTCTGCTGGACCTGAGCCTCAGGGGTGATTAGAGCTACAACAAGGCAAGGGGATAAACCATCTTGGGACTGCTTTTACTGCATCCTGTAAGTTTCGGTATGTTGTGTTTTCCTTTCTGTCTCAAGATATTTTTTTTAAATTCCCTGTTTGACCCAATGGTTGTTCAGGAGTGTGTTTCCACGTATTAGAGAATTTTTGTTTTCTTCCTGTTACTGATTTCTAGTTTCATTCCCTTGTGGTCAGAAAAGATGCTTGGAATCATTTCAGATGAATGGATAAAGACAATGTGGTCTATTCATACCCTGGAATATTATTCAGCCTTTAAAAAGAAGGAAATCCTGCCATTTGAGAACTGGTTGAACCTGGTGGGTATTATGCTAAGTGAAATAAGCCAGACAGAGAAAGACAAATACTGTATGATCTCACTAATATGTGGAATCTAAAAAAGTTAAACTCAGGAAAGCAGAGAATGGAACAGTGGTTGTCAGGGGCTGGGGGGCAGGGGATAATATTGGTGGAGGGGTACAAAGTGTCAGTTTTGCAGGATGACTAAGGTCGATTGTACAACAATATGACTATAATGAATAAGCCTGTATTACATACCTGAGATTCACTAAGACAGTTGCTCTTAAGTGTTCTCACCACCTCCACCAGCAAAAAACTATGTGAGATTGAGACAGGCTGGGACCTGGGGCACTTTGCTGAGGGCTTGGACCTGGACCAATGTCTCCTTGAGCAACAAAATACAAAGAAGAGACTGAAAACAACTGCATACATGTGCAGTTGGGGCAAATTATGAACAAGATACAAAAAGACCAAAAACCTAACCGCCATTTCTGGAGCGCCATTTTGGAGCAGAAACAGAGAACTTCACAGGATCCCTGCACACAGCACCCCCCGAGGGACAGGCTGACCACCTAAGCCACCTCTCCCACCTGACCCTGGGACCCGCCCCTACCTTCACCCCATTTAAGGAACCAGCCTGCCACCCCTCTTCAAGAAGCAAGCATGGGAACGTGTTACTTGTTTTCACTCCCTCGTGTTGTAGCACAAGTCCTGATAAAGACTTGCCTGAATTTCTCGTCTGCCCTATTATCAATTTCTATTGATTAAGGGGTCCAGGAACCCTGGTCGGTAACAAGGTGATGGATGTGTTAATTAGCTTGATTGTGGTCATCAGTTCACAATTATATATCAACATGTCACATTGTACACCTTAAGTATATACAACTTCTATCTGTCAATAATATCTCAGTAAGGCTAGGGAAAATGTGGAGCTTAATAAAATTTATATTGAATTTGGTGGCAGGGGTGTGGCAAGACAAAGGGAAAACAATGGGCACCTGGAGGAAAACAGCAGCCAGGAGTTAGAGCCCGCGATGCTTTCAGAACCACAAAGGGAGTCAAACCACAACCTACACAACAGGGAAAAGAGGAAAAAATATGAGCATTTAAAAAAAAATCAGATGCGAAAGAAAATACTTTCTGAACTAGGAAATATGGTTTTAAATTTAAAATGATTTGGAGGAGAGGATGGAGACCTGGAAAACCAAATGGAAGAGAATGCAAAGCCCAAAGCGAAAACAGGAAACAGAAATTGTGCAGGGAAAACCCAGAGCTCAGGAGGAGAGAGACCCGGGAGATGTCATATGGGAATAATACAAAACCTAGAAGGAAAAAAGCAACACATGGAGAAGAAGCCATAATTTTAAAACAAGAAAGAAATTTTTCCGTGGTTTGAAGAAAGACTTGGGTTTGAAAGGGCTCATGGAGTTCCAGGCAGGGATGATGGAAAAAAACAGACATCTAGGCATAGCCTGAGAAGATTCCTGAATTTCATGATTAAAGGGAAAACTCTTATGAGCTTCCCAAATGAGAGAACAAGTTAAGAGACTCAGACCTAAACCACACAACATCTCATTTGCAAAGTTAGAAAAGGAGAAAGCATCCTGTGCCAGCCAAGGTGCCCTTCACGCCCCCGGGATGGACAAAGCGCAGCAAAGGGCAAAACTCCCAAGAATTTCCCCATACGAGGAAGACGCCCAAGAGAGGAATCTAAGCAGGTAATAAATGAGTCCGTTTGGAGACAAGAGAGGTGAAAGAAAAGAGGAAGCCATCCAAAGTAGCTGAGAACCTACCAATTTATGTGTTGTTAGCGCCAAATGGATAATGATAGATGAGATGGAATTTGTAGTATAAGCAGTAAATTTGTTTTAAAAACACATACAGAGGAGAGATGCGATAAGACCTATTGCTAGCCTATAACAGAAAGTTCTCAATTATCTTGGCAAAAGGCAGGAATTGAGGAGGGGGAAAGGGTAAGCAAAACATTTAACATTTTTCTTGTTGGGTGGGGGAAAAGGAAGGAGGAAAAAGAGACCCTGAATGGGAGGAATTGATGGGTACCTTCCTGACATGTAATAGAAAGGGTTTTTTAAATTATTATGAAAAGCAGAAAAGGGGAGGTCAGCACTAGTGGAGACAACATATAGTAAAGCTTCCAAAATGAGAGGGAAAAAGAGGAAAGACCAGCATCATTGTCAATTGTTCCATCCTTTCTTTTTTTTTATTAAAAAAAAACTTTTATTATGGAAACTTCTAAACACACACTACAAGCAAGGGACTAACACAAGAAATCTCTGTGGACCCAGCTCCGGGGTTCATTACTCATTTTTTTTAAATCTGGGGAAATATTGTCACAAATCCTGCACCATTTCAGTTTT